TTTATTTATTTATTTATTTGTTTATTTATTTATTTATTTATTTATTCCATTCATGCATTCCATCTATTTATCCGTCCATTCACTTAATTGTATCTTATTTTATTGCTTCTGTCATTTCATTTCAAGGTTGTCAGACATCAGACCAAGGCAATATTTGAACATGTCATCAGGACACACATGGTTCTATCAGACAAAGGTAATCATCTTTAAATTCAAAATAATACAGCTATTTCAGAAAACTGGCAAAAGTCTTGGTGCATGTTGCATACCAAGTCCAAAATGGGCGATACAAATGCAATACTTTCTTCTGTGCTGACATTGTTTCCACATGTTTCAAAATAGATTTCAAGCTTTGTACAGTATTCAATGTGCAGCATGCAACATTAGCTCCAGCAACCTTTTTTTTGAAATTGCTTTTTTGGTATTGCTGGTTTTTCATCATTCCCAAGAGAATTAAATAACAAAAGACACGGTGGCCATGTTGGAGGATATAACAAAAGAGACTAATGATGAATCTTTTGTTACAGTGAGAATCAAAAAACCATGGACACAATAGGTAACAATAGCCTTCTGATTGGTTAAGAAACATTCTTGAATATTTTTAGATGCCCACGGTTTTTGATTTGCACTGTAAATTCATCCAACTTGGTGGCTGTGAAAACCATCAATTGGTAACAGAATTTAACCTTTATTACAATGTCAAGTTATGGAATTAAATTTTGCTATATCATTTTTTCAGAGCCTTCAGCTGATGATTTCTTGAAGAACCTAACTGGGAAACTCATTGAAGTGGGCTGGCACAGCAGAGGCATTTACGGACCACTGTGCTGTTTGACTTCAGCTGTTGGTGCAAAGACCATGCTGGGATGGTATCCATGTATTCCTGTCCAAGTGATAAACGTGCTAAAAGACAGGATAATTGCTCCTCATGTATGCAAAATGTTTTGGCTTATAGTTTTATTTAAAGGGGGTTTGATTAAAGTAAATAAAATCATGGAATAGTGGAATAATGGTTTGAAGATAATACAAGAAAGCTTGTTCACTATAATGAATGCTAAAAGAGGGCCAAAATTAATCAAGAAATAGAATAAAAATATTCGGGTTTTTGATATATATTCTGATCTAAGCATCAAGATGCTCAGAAAACACTAGAAAAGCATAGGAAACAACCTTAGTTTTCAAGTATTCTCCATGCACCCCAAGTGTTTAGATAAAACTGTTTTATGTCTCTTTTATAATATAACAACCACACAAATTAACAAAATGAAAATTCTGTAATTTTTTCATTATTAAGTAATTTAGATACTCCCATCTGACCATTTTATTTTATTTATTTATTTATTTATTATTTATTTATTTATTT